ACTGCAGTAACAAGAAAGTGGGGCAACACATTGAGCTCATGAGTCAAGAAAAAGCAGCATTCTTCACCACCCAAATCAACAGCAAATAAACAGCACTGACTTGAGTTTAACTTCAGCTTGCTGCAGCCCTGCTGTTCCCTACTAATGGTTTATAAAGAGAGATGCTGGGAGTCGTGATGGGCATTGAGAACTGCCATGTCCACACTTGTTTCCTTAAATTAAAAATGAATGGTTTGCATTTGAGTATATATATATTTTATATATAAGTATATAAAATACATATTGATTTTATATGTTATATGTATTATAAATATATGTAATAAATATATATTACAAATATTTTGAATTTCTCCTGGTAAACTGTGGAAATTTACTCTGAGCATTCTGCACAGCTTGTTGCATCCATGTTTTTTTACATTGTCACTTTATTTCCTGGCAAGTAATATTAGTGCATCATTTAGCATGTTTGAAAGATTAACTTAAGAAGAATGCATCATCACAAATATAATTTGCTGAAACATCTCATCCACTTCTCTAAAAATCAAAACATCCTCTGCCTCGGAATTGTTGAAGCTTTGTATTAACACACCAAGTCTCTTTAAACATATGGGTTTAAGATGGCACTGAGCTATCAAGATTGTTTGGGTTGTGGGAAACGTTGTCAAACTGCTAAGAGTGATTAATATTTTCTTCCCCTCTCTCAAAAGAGTGCATATTTTAAACTATCACATCACTGCTTTAAATAAAGCCCAATTCCACTGTGATGCCTCCAGTGCCCCTCTCAGCCTTGAACAGTTGTTTGAAGATACATAATTCATAAAACTCGAAGATGTATTGGCACAATTAAAGAGAATTACACGCTGTATTTCTCCCCCAAATATTCAGCCATAAACCCTTCAGTAGCTTAGCTAGATTGGATCTGTTGGCATCCTCAGTCTCTAAGAAGAGGATGTCTTGTGCATCTCTAAAAGGTTACATCTCTCACACGACCTTCTTGAAAGGCAAACAAAACAGCTCTGCAAACAGAGTTCAGTAACATCCTTCTGCTAACAATGATATTCACAGTGAAGCAGTGTGGTAAGGGCCATGAGATGCTAATCCCCAAAACTGCTCAGTTCATAGGAAGAAATGGGTGCCCCACACACTGTCAAGGTGTCAGCTCTTATTCACACCAGCCCGCACAAGCAGCACTGAGTTCCATATCTCATCAGAATGGAAGCCAGAAAGGAGCCCTGGTTCTCCGAGCTGTTCCTCACTGCCTCAGAAACTCAGCATCTGCAGATCTTCTGGAGAGCCCAACCCACAGCTGGTGTTGATGATGGTAAACAGAATGCTTTGCCACGGTTTTGGGTTTCTCAGGAGTGCCTGCGCTGCCCAAACTGCAACGCCCACCAAGTGCACATATTTGCTTTGACTGGTAAAGATCCTCCCAGCTCAGGAGGTTTCATGCAAGGCCTGTTTCTGCTTGTGACAGGAGAGGGCGAGAAAAGCAGAACAATCCATTTCCAAGTAGCTGTCATGGAATTTGCAGCCACATAGCTCAAGAACAGAATTTGACTTCGAGAAGTGTTTTTCTCTATAAAGGAAATGATTAAACAATTCAAGTATTCATTACTAACCAAGCATGGTTTCTTTCTTTCTTTCTCTAGTCAGGTCACGTGTGCTTTCAAGAGCTGTTTCAGTACATTGGCCTCTTCCTCCTTAATGCTCTCATGTCTCAAGCTCGGGCACAAATGTCCTGGGAAGGCAGACCAGAAAAGGCAACTTTGCAAGTGAAACTAAGAGAGGACAAACTAAGGTGGAACAGTTCTTGTCAGAGTACAAAGGGTGACAGCTTCATGCATTTTTGTGCTCTTTGCATTATGTCAGGCGTGACCTTTAGGCTCATCCATTTCCTCTGAAGTCCCTCAAACTGATAAACAAGGCTGAGGTGAAAAGACCATCTCTGCTTGGGTGGAGCAGGCGTCAGCAAAGCCAGATGACAGCTGCCAGGGCTGTTATAAAGAAGTAACGGGTTGCTTCCTGTGCCAGTAAGCTAGCTTTGGCTACAGCATCAGAAGTAGCTGCAGAATCGAAGGCCAGATTCCCAGTGGCTCCAGGATTGCAGCCTCACAACGTGGAGCAGAGTGATTTCCTGCGGCACTCAGTGCAGTGCCCTTGCCTGCCTTTCCTTGTCATTACATGTCCCCATTAAGTCAGCTGCTAAAGGGACAGGGACAGGTATGAATCTGATCTGGGCAGTAGTTCACAGGTGACTTTCATTTAAGTAATTTTTTTCCCCGCTTTGTTCAAGTTTCTTGTTCAGTATGAAGACAGAAAAATTGCTTTTTCTGATTCTTAATCTGTATCACATAATAGCATTGGTGAACCTAGCACACACATATCCCGGTGTCTTGACTTTCTTATATAATGCTGGGAAAATCTCCAAGGCTTAAATAAAATCCTACCTTGGCTCTCAGGCTTGGCAGGCTTTTGCTTCTAGTACGACACAGAAGAGAAGGCTGTTTTCTGTCTCTCCTACCCAAAATAAGCTTATTTTCCACTATACCTATGTTTCTATTATCTATGAATGCACTTTTCCTGTCACATAACTTCATAAAGTTGGGAAGATGCCTCAGGTAGCATAACGGTACAAACTCCCATTTCATCAGTAGTGCTTTTTGATACTGGCAGCAAAGCATAAGAAGAAGATTACGTCTCTCTCCTTTGTCTTTAGTGCCTACTGTAATAGAACACTCACCAAAGCACCTCCCACAGCAACACAAGTCCCACCAGGCTGGTGTCTGATGCAATCCTGATGCCATCGTGAGTACCAATGTACCCACCAGTCCTCCTCAACTCCAACCCAAGGCATTCTTTGCTTCATGCTCAGTCTCTACTAGATTCCATTTCTCTTCATGCAGCTCCTGTCCACCCCAGGGTTTCATGGTTTTAATTTCCTCTCACTTCCTTGACTGCTGGAGGGATGCCCCAGTACAACTAATTTGGAAAGTAGCACATGACATTGCTATGGACACATTGTCCCCTAGTGCTGTGATGCTGGAAACCATAGGATACCCGTCCTGGTCCAGATGAGGGCTACATATTGAAAATCTTATTTTGGTACCTCTATGAGTATCAAGTTAATTTTAAAATCTAGAGACTGACATGTAAAAGATGACCCAAACATCAACTAAAGAGATTTCATCTCTTCTATCTGATGATGGGGGCTGAGGAAATGAGGTGGAGTCGAGGGAGGCCACTTCCACAAACTAAGCTAGAAACATGGAATCATTAAGGTTGGAAAAGACCACTTAGATCATCTAGTCAAATCATTGACCCATGCTACCATGCCTACTACAGCAGATCCTGACAAGAGAAGCTACATTTTCCAGGAGATACTGACCTGCCCCACACTGCACCACTGCTCCACGAGGCAGAAATGTGCCAATTTCACTGCAAGCTGAGCAACAACTCAGGAAGAGCCTGGATTAGCTCTCCCAGCATCAACCCCAATCCTCCTGAAGGCCATCACCACTCTGCCCACCAACTTTTCATGGAGCAAGACTCAGTTAAGAACAAAACCAAAAACAAAACCTCCAAAAACCCAGACAGTACCAGCTACAAATAGAACATAGAGTCTGGCTGCAAACTCACAATACAGCCAAACCAAAAATAGCAGTGTGACAAGATAAAGCAGTGCAGTGCTGGTGTTGATGAGAATAGCAACGTCAAGGATATGAATACAAGAAAGAATAAGCCTTTGCTACTGTAATTATCCAATGCAGAACAGTGTGGAATAAATATAGAAACCCTATTGCCAAAAAGGCTCTTGCTTCCACTCGGTTGTTTAAAGAAACGAAATATCAGAAAATTAAAGAGTAGAAGGAAACTTATATCTTTTTAATGTTTTTCCTAGCTATGGTGATGTTTCCCTTTTTTCTTGTTTCCCTTTTATTGTGCATCACACAGATTTTCTTAATGAGGGATCTGACCAGAAATCTTATACTGTGCATCTCCTGTGTACTTGCTGGAAAAGGCTTCTCCCCACAAGCAGGGTAATTTGCTCACATAATGCAGTGAGGCCCAACCAGAAGTTAAGCGAGACTGAGTGAACACTGTGCAAAGTTCAGGAAGAAGATAAACCTTCACCTCCAGGTCCTGTTGATGCCAACTGATTGCTCTGCTCCTGGTATACAATTAACATCTCATTCCAATTGTATCATAGCAATCTGAGCGCCTACACTCAGAAGCAGGCCACAGATGAGTAAGTGCACACAAATGCATACAACTCTTTGCAAAGCAGTTATTTCCCAGTGCAATATACTCAACCAATAACTCAAGAAATAACCAGAAAGCTCACAGTCGATTTCAGGGTTGGAAACATCCAACACTGGGGAATCAACAGTGGTAGACCTGGGCTACACATGGCTGGATTGCTTCTTTGCAGCAACAGAATTAGGCTACTGCCTGACTTGTTGCAATCTCTCCTTAAAATCTTCATAGCAAGTAGACCTGAAACGCACAGAGTCCTCTTCCCATCCATAAAGCCTAAACTGCATGCCTGCTAACAAACAGCTCACTCCTGGTCAAAACCTTCTGCATGGGTTTGGGTTGTTATGAATTTAGAACAAAAAGTAAGGATATAAAAAGCTGTTTTAATTTCAGAACCATATTGGAGTGCCACCATTTACTCTTTAATATGATAAGCTAATCAAGTTAATTCTGGAAAAGAATTAGAAAGTTTAACAGAATGAAATTTGGCTAAATAAGTATAAAGGCATATAACCTGCTGCCTCCTTTAACAGATGTAAATAACAACTATAGAAGTTTGCTACCTTTAAAGTTGCATTTTATGCCACATGCAAGCACTTTGCCTTTCAGTGTTCCTCCATTCAGTACTCAACTTCATGCATCATTTCCATTCTTTCTTTTTCTTGAAAAACAGAAGCACACTGCAGCATGAATCCTTTGGCTTGAAAGTTCAGAATCTCAAGGAAAAAAATCAAGCATGTACTTACGACCAGAGAGAATTTCTTCCTTGTGTGATGACTCCAGTGAATTTTGTTAGCCTTCGAGCATCTACTTCAATCCACTGAAATGGATCATTTCTTCCTGCACACCAAGCACCATCATAAAAATCATTTTCGTTAACACCTGCCTGAAGAAGAAAGCAGAACTCTTCATAAATCAGAACCAGGAAACCAAAGGTCTTTCTTGGGAAAAAGAAAAGAAAACATGAAGTCATCATTCATTTCATTTTCTCCTTTGGCTCAATTTTAAGCACCCTGAGACTGTCATTCTCCACAGTTATATGGAATGGCCAAAATGTTTTCTTGCTCAAAGTGTGTGGGAGAAAGAACTCTGCAAAACCCCTTCAAAACCTGAGAGCCATTACTTACAAATATAGCTCAGAGAGAACAAACAGAACTTCAGTCTAGTCCAGTCCACCTGTCTGTGCCTGCGGCCTGACAGGGCCTTCACCAAAAACAAATTATCCACATGGTCTTCAGAGTGATGGAAGTCCTAAAAAGTGATCTCTGCTCCATCTCAGTAATAGTCTGTGGTGGAGTTAACTCTTCCTCCTCCAGAATCAGCAAAAGAGACTGTAAAGCATATGGAAACAGCAATGCCATGTTCCACCAGATCTCATTCCCATCGCTAAATTTTCAACATCAGGGATTTTCAGACCTTACAGAAAATTAAGTTTAAGGACTCAGGAGTGCCAGCTCCCTGCTGGACTCCAGCTTGCTTACCAATCTATACTCTGAACTATATCAACAATAAACCCCACAAGCAGTCTTCTACACATTTTCAAAGGGGAGATAGCCACAAGATATTTTTATTTTGCACAATCTAAGCACACAAGAAATAACAGTCAAAGAAACATGTCATGCCAGGTCTTCAGATATTTATCTTGTTACTGAAACTGAGGAAATGTTCTGCATCAAGCTGGCTACTGTCATGGAAAGCACAGAAGCTTCTCCATATGGTTCACAGAGGCTACATTTATTTTTATGTTATATCATCTGTGTTTAACGTGGATTTATCATTGCCATCCATGCAACTCCAAGAAAGGATATTTTTAAATATTTCCCAAATAGAAATGAAGAGTATGGAAAACTTTGAAAATGTGTATTAGAGACTCCTTTAAGCTCTGACATACAGCTATTCTATATTGTGATTGAAATTATAGCCATCATTGGATTGAGATTACAGCTGTAGCTGGGTAACAGTGTCAGAGACTGACATAACTGTCTGTCTCCATTTGTACACAGAATTTCTGTCACAGGTGCTGGATTGGTCTAATCCACAAAAAGGAGATGCCGCTGTCAATCCTATTTCTCCAGACTGAGTCTGGTAACATCTGAAGAGAGCACTGCAAAGCCGACACAGATTCAATTCCTGAGGCTTCTCATTTTCTACAGCCTTCAAATCTAAGATCAGGGAAGCTTAAGTATTATTAGTTTTCCTGCATTGGCCAAATTTATATGAAGCCACTGCTATGGCCTCACTCCAGTATCTTAAAAGCAAAGCTCATGTACAAGGGGAAGCACATTGCGTGGTGAGGAACTCCATTAATGAAAGAGAAATTCTTCAAGAGGCCTGAACAGTGGGAAACACAACACAGATATGATCACTGCCTTAGTTAAACCTTTCTCAAGCAAAGGTTTCAGAGCATTTTAAAATGAAATGGAATTTGATGGAGCCTTAGGGTTGAAAACCAGTGCTTGCCAGGAAGCATTACAATCTGCAGAGCACCTTGAACCAACGTCATGCTAATCCCCTGCTCGCTGATGGCATTCCACCAATTCTGCCCTTATCTCCCATTGCTGTGGCTGGGACCCTCAGTCTTCAATCAGACTAAGAGTGCTGCCCATTAGCATGATGCTTGTTGCATTGTAAACTTTTCCTCTACAAGGAAAGACAGAAAGAGAGGAGAATTATTATCCAGTAGTTTAAATTAATATCGCATTTCTATGGAAAGCTTTCATTCCGGAAAGATGAGAACAATTATCATGAAATACTCCTCAAAGAACAAAGATAAGTTGGAATTCCAGCATCAGGTGCCACCCAACACAGGGTTCTGCAGAAGCAGATTCTCGAGGGCATTACACAGCCCTGCTAAGTCTGGCGTGTGCTTGGTGACAAGCATACGCACCACAGCAACAGGACTGAAATTCACAAGCCTTAAAACTTAATGCTGAAAAGCAAGGTACACGAAGAGAGCTGCAAAATGTAAGTGCTGCTAATTTTTAGCTGATTTCAAAGGAAGCAGTATCTAAGGAGAAATAAGCGCCAGACATAGTGGTAACTCCTAATGGTCAAGGGGGTTGGGGAATTGCTGTGTCTATAGCATACAGATAAGCTTTCAGTAGCAGAGAAAATTGTGGATTGGAGGATTATTAGAAATCTCCTTTTAGAGCTAAGGTTGTAGCAGAGAAAAAGGCTACATTTCAACAAGAAAATACAGCAGAGCAGTCACTGAAGTTGAAGTTCACCATGAGCTGGGTGCTCTTGCATTATTTGTATACAGGCCTTCTAGAGCCATAGGATAACTTCATGTGCCAGAAAACTGCAAAAATAGCTGTTGCATATTAAGAAAATCATTCCACATAGAACTTGCAGCTGAAGGAAATGACAACGTGAAAATCTGTATCAAGCAGCAGTGTGACATGAAGTTTGTGCTCACAGGGAAAAAGAATCCACAAACAAACAAACCCATCTACCAAGTAAAACGTACAATCTTTCTACGCAAACATCTCAGACCAAAGAAGAGAGAGAATCTCCCATTTAAGCTGGCATTGGAGCAAAGGTCCTTCCACTCAAGACCCCACAGCACTGCACAGAGGGCACAGAGCTACAGCATTGAGGAAAGGAGACTTTTTTGGTAGAATAAATTAACGGAATCCATCATCACAGACCTGGCAGAAGCATTATTATTATAACCATCAGGTGAACACAGGGGAGATCAGGGCAGCCACAATAACCTGGGAGACAGGACACCAAAAGAGACCAAGCCAGCCTGCCCTAAGCCTCACCTACCTTTGGGAAGGAAGAGCTGCCTACTGTTTGTTTCCCAGCAGAAGACTGCTCCCTCAGCTTCCATTGGAGGCTCCAAACCACCATTAGGAGATCCATCATTTACATCAAAGGCTCTCCTCCTACTTCAAGGTGGTGTTACTGGTGGTAATGGGATACAAGGCTAGATCGGTTCCTGGTCTGAACCCATATGTTATTCTTATGTTTGTAAATAAAGTGGACTTTAACAGAATCTCAGAATGGTAGGGGTTGGACGGGACCTCTAGAGATCATGAAAAAGCGCATCCAAGACAGAGTTCAGAGATTTGCATCACAGTTCTTGATACATCTATATATAGTTTTATAGAATCATTAAGGTTGCAAAAGACCACTAAGATCCTCAATCCAACCCCAGCCCACCCCCACCATGCCAACTAACAACAGCCCTCAGAGCCACATCTCCACAGTTCTTGAACACTCCTTGAACAGAACAGCATGTTGCAGCATTACCACTCTTTCTGAGAAGCAGAAAACAGCTCAGCTCTCAGTAGAACTATATTGCAGAGCCCACAGGTGGGACCTCACATGTGAGCAATTTCTGCACCTGGGCCCCTTCCACTCAAGCTGGCTCTGCTGCTGGAGAGACTGCAGATTGATTTACTGGGCCTCCTGACAAAAACTAACCCATTAAATCTACTGAAGTTGAAAAAGAGAAACACAAGAAATAGAGAAATAGAGTTTTGGACCCACGAAGTAGCTAAGCACAACATTAATGCTAAATAAAAGCGGAGAAAGCAGACTGTCTGCTTATGGCTTACAAATTGCAGAATCTTTTGTAGCATATTTGTTGCCTTTGAAAAGCAGCCTCAGGGCAAGAGCTTCACTTAGAGCCACATACTTCCAATTAACTGCTGTCATTAACTGCTGGCAAATGGCAAAAAGTCGTTGATAGTGGGAGTCTCCTTGTAGACATAGATGCTCCCTGTAGATGCCCCTGCAGCCATGCAGGGAGCACCCACTTCTGCTCACCCACAGAGCTCTGCTGGGGTTTGCACCCTCAGCACGTGACTTCTATAACCAGGGAAATAAACCCCACAACTTTAAGGGTGATCCATCAACCCTGTTCACTGCTCCAATTCCAGCGTTTCCCCTTCGCTTGAATTACATGAGCTGTCAAGGCAGTCAGAACCAATAACCATCCACTGGCTCCCTTTATGTAGCCGTACAACCTGAAGCCATTCTCCCACTTAGCAGCAAAATGGATGTTACCTGAATATTAAGCCTTCCTCTGTGGGCCCCGAGGCCGTATCGCTTTGCTGTAGAGGCATGGAGCTGGAAGTCAGTAATTTTTAGTGTCTCTAGACCAAGTGGAGGACAATCTACAAAACAAAAGATTTATTAAAACTTAATATATATAGTGTGTATTGATTTATTTTAAAAAAGCAAACTGTAAACAGGCATTCCAACTGTTTTGGTTTCACTTGTGCCAAGCTGGCCTGGGCTTTCAGCTGGTGTAACGAGCACAGCACCAGTGAAGTCGATGAGAAATGGCAGTTCTCATGAAACCAATGAAGCAATGCTGATTTACACCAGTGAGGATCTGGCTTTTTGTCACTTGCATAAAATTAATATTGCTTGCTCTATGCTTTTGTCTTTCACAGATATGCAGAATATTTCCTGTCCAGTGTGTTTCAGTACAAGATGCCAAGAGAATGGCCTTTTATTTTCCTGTCTTTTGGCATTTTTCTTCTTCATCTCGTTTTGATTTTTCCCCTGTACTCATTCCAAGCTACTGTATGAAGTTATGGTTCTAATTAAAATCTATTCTGGAAAGTTCAATCACAGTCGTTCACATTGCACAATAGCATCTGTTACAGAGGTCTGGGAGGCCGACCGCCGAGCTGCAGAGGTAATGACTGAGCACAAAGAGGGCAATTCTGCAACAAGGGGCCATCTCTCTCAGCTCCAAATTGCAAAAAGAAAGAAAAGCAGATCTCATTGCCCCAACAGTGAGCTGGGAATGCAGCAAGCTAGAGCCCAGAGCTCAGGCTTTGGAAGATAAGGCATTGGAAAGAGTCTACTTCATTGTTTTCAGAGAAAACACTGTGGTCTGAGATGACCCCAGTATTTGAGTCTCTCACTGTCCTCAGCGTATTTGTCCTGGAAACACTGTAGTTGGGCTGGAAGGCGCACTCTGTGCTCTGCAGAAGGTGGACAAAAGCACAGAGGCATTCTGGCAGGGTCTGAATGGTAGAGCAGGGCACAGTTCAGGGGCCCTGAATTCAGCACTGACCAAGATTGAAAAGCCTGCACATGGCAGAGGTGGGAAACAGCGCCTTGGTGCTTATTTAGCCAGGTCTGACTCTCACATTGGTTTTGTATTGCTGTGCACAAACTGTCAAAACGTATACGAGATTTGCTGTGCTCCTGCTCAGCTCACAACAACCTAAAATCCCTCAGGAAAACCATTGCGTGCTATTTGTGCTAGCATTTGTGTGCTCATCCTTAGGAAAGTTCTCACAGAAATCAGTGGCCAAAGTTTAATGTCTTCATCAGAGGCGGCAAAGACAAACGTTAATTACAGATGTATTTTCTTATGCACCAACTGCAATTGTAGTGGTGCACAAGAGACAGGCTGCAGACAGTTCCTCATTCTGAAGAGCTTTCAATCTAATTACCCCAAGCAGAGAAGAGACAGGATGGATAAGGAGAACCAAAGGACGGAGCAGCTCAGAGGATTTGGGTTTCATTGGCAGATGGGTTTAATTGCATTTCCTTCCAGACTGCTCCATCTTTCATTGCACTGCGACTGGAAGAAGTCTCAGGCTCTGACAGATCTTTACCGGGAGTAAATTACAGAGCGGGGGACTGCCTGCCTTCCTTTAGCAAGTTCAGTCCTGCAGACAGGTTGGGAAATGAATCTCACAGGTAATCCTGCAAACCCTTCTGCACTGCAGTATATTTGAGTCTGCGAACACCCTCACAAAGCTAAAGCATCTACCCAGAGCAAGCTGCCTTACCACTCATGCATCACTTTCTCCATGTTTATACCACGCCTAATACAGGCTAGGGGAGCAATGTGCAGGTTCTGAAGGGAATTAATGAAAAAGCAGAGCATTTCCCACTGAGCTAACAGCCAGCTCCACCAGCAACATACTGGCTGAGGCTCCCCTACCTTCCCAGATGTGACATGCAGTGCCAGTGTACGTATAAAGAACTGGGTTTGGTTTTATTCAGACCAAAATACTCTTAGCATTGTAACACTGCCATATTCTGGGATTACTGGTGGATTTCAGGCAGGGTTTCTTAAACTGCAGGATGTCGGGGAGAAAAAAAAGCCTGCATGTATTGGTGTGTATTATCTCACTGTTCATATGGATCCCTGTTAAACGCACCTAGCTGCTCTTCATTTTTTTCAGCATTAGTTATTTGTATTGCCTGTAAAGGCATCAGAGCAACAGGCCAATATTATGAAATGCTCAGTTTGTGGGAGTTGTCAGTGACGACAGAGCAGGATCTAAGAGCAGGTGACACAAAATACAGATACTTCTGATGAAAATATATTATTAGCAATGCAGCGTCCTATCTTCATGTTGTCAATGCTTAGAATATATCAAGTGAAATGATTAGGATTTTTAACAGCCATTCAATAATACACAGCAATTCTTTTTTTTTTTTACTGTTATTCATAAAAATTTATAGGAGAGCACCTAACTTACTGCCTCTGAAAGTGAACTAGGCTTTAAGGCTGGGACTGTTTGGTCTGGGTAAGGGGAGGCAATTAACATTTGATTGTTAATAATGTAGAAATACGAAAAATACAGAAATATTCATTCTTTTCACAGACATACAAATTCCATCATCAATAAAGAGATACACTGTGAAGCATCTTGGACCAAACCATTGACCTATAATGTACAGAGATGGTGACTGCAAAGCTCTCAGTACAAGCTCATCAGATGAAGTCCAAGTTAATCCCTACAGTGTCATACAATCAACCTGAAGTTGCCATTACACTACAGAAAAAAAAATAATCCAGAGTCATACTGTGAATTTCAGTTTATCTACACTATTGTGTTGGTTCCTCCTCCCTTACAAGCTTTCTTAACTCCTCTAGAGGTAACTCAGACAACCTAATTATTTTTAGGAAATATACAGGAAAATAAAGTGCTTTATGGCTAAGCCTGCACTTCTGAAAGTATTAATTAATATATTCTAAGTAATTTAGAGAAGCTTTCCATGTAACAATGAAAACTGCCACGCAGACTGTCTAAATGCTAGTTTGGAAAACACATGCAGAAGCTTTAGAAATGGGGAAGCATAAGCAACCAGAACAGCTTTATGTTACAGATTCAGCAAGCAATGACCCAATTATTTTGTCATTTCTTTAACTAGTTGAAAAAAGGAATTTGAAAATACAGGAAATTCAGCATTTTAATCCAAATGCTGTGTACATAAAAATGTGGTAACAAAATCCAACAACATATTTACGTTTCTCGCTGGCAGAAAAGCAAGCATTCATCCTGCAGGTTTGGGGAAGAGGCTGAGGCGTGGGCATTTCTCTCTTTCTGGGCTGTATCCAATCATGATTTCACGTGCAATTTTCAACCATGAATGGGTATTCACTTTAAAAACAACACATTGACAAGATGTCTGGATCAAATTAATTAATTCCAAGGCCTAAAAAGAGGCAGGGTACGGATTCAGATGTAATGTTTGCCTCCTCAACAATGATCTAGTGGGGGTTCCAATTCAAAATAGATTTGCTAACTATCACCATGTTCATGATTTTCAGTTTTGCTTCTGCTAGCTAGATGGAAAATGATTGTTTTCCAAAGTGTGGCATTGCGAGCCATCCCCTCTTCCTTGAAGCATGCAGGAATTACTTTCAATCCCCAGCTCATTTCTGGCAATCTGAATTGACCCAGTATGACTCAGGTATTGCTTGTACCAGGAGAACTAGCTGAAGGTGCAGCCAGCACCACCTCAGGCTGTAATCTCAGCTTGGCTCTGTACAGAGATATTAAACCTGAAAGCAGTTTCAGCCTCAGGATAGCCATGCCCTAACGATGCATCTGCCACTGAAACTCAGCTAAAAAAGAAAAGCAACAACACCCTCGATCATCTTGTCCTTACACCTGCAGTATAGTTATAGTTAATCTCCTCCAAGATTAACTATTCTTTGTGATAAAATTATCAGCAGTCATCCTTGGAAATGCAGATTAATGTTGTAAATAGAAGACGCGTGTATGAACAGAGCAAGGAGAACACTCTTGTTCATCTTTATTTCCTAAATCACTCATTTATTTTCTTTTCTGCTGGTCCAAATAAAGATGTTTGGGTGAGCACAGATTGTCTCTGCAGCTCTGGTATCTAATGGGAAAGCATTTAGGAAATTACTCTTTATTATCTTTTAAAAAGCACAGCAGACAAATGATTGTTGTATTTAAAGAATGTTTCCCATCAATTTAAGAACCTGCTCATTTTTTTCAAATGGAATGAAAAAGAAAAAAAAGAGGAGCACGTTTCTTTTTTTACTTACACTTTTAGGAGCCATATCACTAATCCTTTTCAATCCACACCACTCTGAGCTTGTCTAACTCCTCACTCTCAGCTCGGGAAATGGAGGAATATCAGTCCTGTGCTGTCTGACAGGCTCCCTGACGTTTGGAGGCAGGATGTGCTCTGGCTAACTGGTTATTCCTTATGATTCCAATGTGTTTTAGCTCCAGGAGCTTTCTCTTTTTAAAATACCTAAGAACCTCCTTGTATTTTGAAATGTTTGTTTGGGGAGAAAGGAAGTTACACTGTAAAGACAGGCAGGAAGAGGACGAGGCAGCACTGATGACAAGTTGACAGAAAATTTCTCTATGCAGAGAATGGCTTTAGAGCCAGCATAGTTTCTTGTTGCTGCTGACATCTATGACTTTGCACTAGGGGCTTGAGCCAGCACCACCAGAGTCAATGGAAGAACCCCCACTGTTCTCATAGAAGTTGGATCAAGTTTTCACTATGAAAAAGACCTCCTGACCTTTGCAGTGTAACCTATTTCTTCAGGTTGTGCATTTTCCATCCAAACATACACTGCCAGAACAATTTCCAGTAACACAGCACAGCCCAAGTTCTCTCAATGGGCAATTAAGTATCTCTAGAAACAACGATGGTCAATTTAAAGAATCAAAAGCCCATATTGCACATCTCAGCCTCCCCAAGGCCAGAGTTCACCATGCAGGAGCATGACAGCGACCAGCAAGCACCTGCAGTACCAGATGGTCTGTCACTGCCTGAGAGGGAAGCAGCGTGGTGCCAGCAGGATGTGCTTCAGGTTGTATTTCTGATAGCAATCTACTGCTTTTATCATAGAGTCATAGAACCACAC